GAGCATGGAACGCGCTGGTGTTGCCCCGCAGCTCCTAAACCCGCACGGAGTGTCCAGGGAGAGGTGTGAGAGGATGCAGAGCTGATGCAAGAACTGATCTAAGGTTTGGGGCAGAGAGACAGACACATATCACAGAATCACAGAATGGTAGGGGTTGGAAGGGACCTCTGTGGGTCATCTAGTCCAACCCCCCTGCCGAAGCAGGGTCACCCAGAGCAGGCTGCACAGCACCGCGTCCAGGCGGGGCTGGAATATCTCCAGAGAAGGAGACTCCACAGCCTCCCTGGGCAGCCTGGGCCAGGGCTCCGTCACCCTCAGAGGGAAGAAGTTCTTCCTCATCTTCAGATGGAACTTCCTCTGCTTCGGTTTGTGCCCATTGCCCCTTGTCCTGTTGCTGGGCACCACTGGAAAGAGCTTGGCCCACATATATACCTCAACATTTTTTTTTTCCAAAGCGGTCTGAGAGGATGATCGCTATTTGATATGCATAGGTTTTCCCAAAGTAGGTTCCCTGTTTGGAAATGGTTTGATTGGCTCACTGTTTCCTTCCTCCCCTCCACCGCAACCGCAGCGCTCCGACAGGAGGAGAGGCCGAGAGAGCTGGGACCATTCAGCCCAGAGAAGAGATGGCTCGGATCGTATCCATCCGCACTAACGCCCGCTGGGAGACAGCCAAGCAGATGGAGCCAGGCTCTTCCCAGCGGTACCCAGTGAGAGGATGCTCCCCCCAGCCAAAGCCCACCCCACCACCAGAAGCAACCCTACATACCCGCCGGAGTCTAACCGCTTCAAGGAAAACTTTACGACACAACACTCCCCTCTAATTCCCTATGCTTAAGCTACTTCCAAGAGTAAAAGAGACTCAAATAATATTGATTGTATCAGAACTCCCCGCCAGATCAGGATCTCAACAACCAGCACACACCTATTCCTCAGCTTGTAATTTCCCAAAACTGGCACAGAAGCAGGCACAGCAGCACTCCTTTTGCCACAACAACGCTAAGTTGTCTGGCACAGTTTTAACACTGTTTTCCAGTCAATATTTCACCTGAACAATTTCCACCTGCAGCGTATTTGGGAACCTCTGTAATTACATAAGAGAATTTACTAACAGATTTTTAAAGCAGTTAAATTATCTACCTTAGGCTTTTCATCACCAATATACAACACTTTTTTTCCTGCAGAAAAAAGTTCACAAAGCAGTGCTCGCGTACCCCAACCACCTCTTGCTGTGTATTTGTTTCCCTGAACCATCCAGCTTTTGTGCTGTAAACTGTGTGTTGACTGATGCAGCATAACATTTTCCTTCACCACTTTCTGCAAGCAAAAAACTTTCAGACAGTTATTACAAAGTTCTGGACAGCTTCTCCTTTTAATTTAAAAAAAAAAAATTTTTTTTTAAATAGAACTTTGAGTTTCAACAAATTGATCTAGAATCACACTGATGCATCAAGCACTGACAGGAGCTACTGCACACGCTGTCCACTAAGGAAACAGAACCCCCCAAAAAAGAAGTGACTCACCATAACAGCAAAATAGAAATCCAGCACTAAAACCCCACAAAGTTTAGATCTAGTCCTGCGTTTTCTCTGTCTCCATTCTTCCCCCCAGGAATTCCCTAGCTGGGGCCAGGAGTGAAAATTCCCTCAACTGAAGTAACCATTTCTTCCCAGTGCTCCCGGCCGGGGAAGCCACAGCAACAGGGCTGGAAGGCTGCAAGAAGCCTTGCTTCTGAAAGAACAAAACGCTGGCTGTTTCGGAGGACAGAACTTCTCTTCTCCGCGGAAACAGAATCTCTTCAGCTGGCTGCGCTTTTTTTTTTTTTTTTAATACTTTAAAAGTATTCTTTTTTTTCAGTCTTACTACTAGCTTACCACATGAGGTAAGTACACTCCAAATTTAACCAACACTTAACTACTCCAGACAGCCCTTTTACATCTGCGTTACCATTCATAAATTACTACACACACTACTACTGCTTGGTGCTCGCGATCACACACGCTCTGTACCAAATCCACTATGCATACATGTGCATGTATTCACCTCCCAAAAGCAATCCCCTCCTCCCCAAACCAGTGGGATGTTACTCTTCAACTCTGCCGATTCAAAAATCATCAAAACCTGGGTGCAAATTACTCATTGAGCAGTTACGACCTCAAATCCTGAAGCAACTTCTGTGCATACCAAAGCAGAGGCGCGTTACGCTGTGGCTCAGCCCACAGATCAGAGATTTTCAGAAAGAGCTGCAGGGTAAGCGCCAGCCTTTTTTCTGTAGTGAATCAAGTGCCTTTTGTCAAATGGTTTATCCAGTGTCAGCGAGCAGACCTTGGCAAGCACCTCATTCGCCCGTACACCACCTAAGCCTCTTGTGGATCTCAGCTCTTCAAACGCTAAAGGGACCCTGTAAACTCCAGTAAAGGGACCCTGTAAACTCAAGAACCTAAAATTAGAACTAACTTTGGTTTCAAGTAGACGCAGCTTACCTACCCACTGGAGAGCTGTTACTGTGTGTTACCAGCTAGCAAACAAACGCATAAAAAGCCAAGCAATATACTTCTGTTTATGACTTGTTTGCCTAGCATCCATAGCATGAGATCTTTCCAGACACAGCTCTTGCCGAAAGATGCTCGAAACCTGAGACCAGACCACGGCAGGAAAAGGAAGAGGGACATCTCCAGTGACAAACAGGACGGCAGCCAAGACAGCGATACATCTGAAATGGCTGGCATTCCTATGCAGGAAAATATCAGAGAGGAAGGAAAAAGGTTGATCAAAACAGCACGGTTTAAAACAAGCTTTTATTACAACTCCCCCTTCACCTGCCAGCAACAGGAAGCTTACTGCCACACCATGCAAGATAAAGGCTCGATCATTTTTCTCTCCGTCAGAAAACTCACAACCCAAACCCCATCTCATCCAGACACAGAGCGCCTTCCTTGGCTACATGGCTACACATTAAAGTTCCCCAGTTTCCACAGATTTGGCCCAGTGGTCACTAGACTGGAGTGTATCTACAGCTCCCCAACACTACTGGCAGGTGTAGCTACTGTAAAATATGTATAATGAAACATTTTTATTGTAGCAGTAATTCAGGTTAGCTATGCAGCTGCATTCTCATGAGCTTTTTTTAAGCATGATTTTATGCCTTCCCTATACTGAACTAAATTACTGTCTTGAGATAAATTGTACCTTTAGTTCTCAGCAGCTTTATGGATTTTTCTTAACTGCTCATCTACACAGTAAAAAAATACAACAAAGCTCCTGAGACAAAGCAGAAGAGCTCAGTGTGACAAAACCACAGAGTAAAGGGATGGCCGAGCTGCTAACAACATTGACTGAGGGCTTAGCGCTTCGCCGCCAGATTTCCATATTTTCCCCCTTTACAAATGGATGATGACAAGATTGTGAGACAGAACGAAAGGAACTATGAAGAACTGGTAACTAAACCTGCCTCCACCTTTTACAATCAAAAATACCTTGGATTACAATCAAAATACCTGATTACAATCAAAAATGCCTTTGATATGACCAGGCATATTGCCTGGGCTCAGACAGCAGGTCTGCAACCCAGGGGACTCACACCCATTTGGAAACACTTAATCAAAAGATGACAATCAAACTCCAGAATAAGGCAACAATTCCTCTCACCTGGCAGTGGGCTGAACACTCCAACTCCTGAATTGTTTCTCTGAGGCCTTGAAAAGCTGTGGAGTACAGTGAAACAGAGGAAGGTGCTCCAGACACCTCCTCAGCTGATAGGACAGTGGAACAGCGAGTTTTCAGGCCGGTGTATTTATCTCAGGAGCACAAAAGCAGTGACAAACCACGGGAGGTGTCCTCACTGGAGCTACACAGATCCTCCTCAGAGGAATCGTCAATACCCTGCTAGGTGAGTCCCACACATCTCCACTTTATTTTTCAACTTTACGTTATTATTTCCCTCCCTTACACGTGCCACTTCTTTTGAACATTTTTTTCCTGAAGTTAAAAAAATGCAGCGGCAAAACCACTCTTGTTACGCTTCCATACCTATATTGAGTTAAAACAAATGTATATGCACATAAACTCTTTGTAAAATTTCTGTCAACCACCTTTGTGCAGTAAAGTGAATTAAAACCAGATGAATATAATTATGCAACGTTCTCCTACACCACTTATATCCTCTTTGGGCTTGCACCAGAGAGAAACTGGGTTTTAAAGTTAACTAAATAATGATGGACCAAAAATATCTGTATAGTTTTTTAATAGTTCATACCTGGTGTATTAATTAGACATTCCGCATATTGCTTTTAATCCACCGATACAGGCATGTAATGTAGCACAATACAATATGCATTATACTGAAGAATAGTTTCCAGTCTTTCTGATCAAGGGCTGCATCTTCAATTCATTTACAGGGAAGGTTTTCTGCGTACACAACATGCATACTTGGAGTTCCCTTACCAAAGCAACAGAAGAGACATTCTTGAGCTTCCCCAAAATATTGTTATATGGAATAATCTAGCAATACCATAAAAGGCTTCAAACCATTGTACCAAAAAGATTAAGACAGGAAAAATCCTTCCCATGTGACGAAAGGAAAGCAACAAACAGCAGGTGGGCACTCTACCTACAAATCCAGCAAACTCCAATCAGATCTCTCCCTCTGGACATCCTTCCTTGTCACCTGTCTTCAGCGCAAGACAATTCTCACTCCCAACGGATAACCCTGAAGTTACGCCAGCTGGTCTCCGCACGGCATAAGTTGCAAGGAGAGAGCACTCGGGGATGGGAGGAACTTATGGAACTTATATTGCAATGCCTGCACCAGAAATTTCACTTTAATTGCTGATTTTCTAGATCATTATATATAAAATATTAGAGGACCATTATTTAGGGGTATAGTGCTAGTTATCACACTTACTTTTCACGTTCATGTGATCAGTTTGTAATGTTTACTTATGTTTTGGGTACTGTTTCCTCACCACGTGAATATTTATGACTTGATTAATGCACTGTTCTTATTCTGTCATCATATTTGCTCCCTCCCCACCAGTGGCATCCTGGGAAATATGGAGATCCTCTAGCATTTCAGCCAGGCTGATTCGCGGAGGACCATCATCGTCTGTGTCGCTCTCCACTGGAACATCTGCATCTAAAAATGCAATAGAAGAAAAAACAACAAATAGCTAAGGGAAGAAAACAAACCCCAAACCCCTGAACAACCCCTAGGAAGGAAGCGGGGGGGGACATGACACGACCAAGTCTGGAAACAGCCATCAAACCACAAAACCCAAAACCAAACAAATCCCTCCCAAAAACCAACAAGCCATGGCAATCGCCCTCATAGAAGATGCTGAATTACATATCAAATCCTTCACCCAGTAGAGGTTTCGGGGGGAAATACACTTCTCTCTCTCATGTTAAAGTCAAGCACACAAAACACCTTGACATCCATTCAGTGCATGTGAAATACACTGAATACCTGAAGCTATTACATTGTAGCCGTTCTCTAGGCATGAGTAGTTCCAAGAATCCAAACACAGAACATCAGTAAATATGTTTTCACTCAAATAGTCATGATCTGGTTACATGCAATTAAATGGTTATAAAGGCCTTACTTCTGTAAATGTTGATATTCTTCCTTACGGCTTCATCTTCTTCGAGATCTTCAAGGAAGTCCTGGTATTGCCTGTAAAAGATGCTTAATGTATTTACTCACTTTTCCTTTGGATTTATGCAAATTTATAAAACAAAATAAAATCAAAGAAACAAAGCCCGAAGGCAGCACTGCAGTCCGTCATCCTTCAGACGTGCCTTCTGATGGCATTCCCATTATTTCTAACTCGTTCTTTCTGCTTTTCTTAATTAGCACCTATCAGTTTCCTAAAGAACTTATTTGATTTGCCTGTCCTCATTTAACTCTAATTGCCTCATTTTTTCTACTGGGTTATTTCATTATTTCATTCATTCTTTAGAACCTGCTGTTGCTGTGTCAGCTTTGTCACTGAACAAACCAGTGACCAGTGTGTTCTCACAGAAGTGTCCCTTGGCTGGACAGACACCAGCTGCACCCTACAGACGCAATGATTTTACTCACCTGTCTCATGATTTCAGCTTTTCTTGGAAAAAAACATGAAAATAGTTTCTATATTTTGCAACAGTAAACCTGAAAACCCTGCACTGTTATCTTTTAAGATTCCAGGATTTAGTCTGGTTCCACATCCCCCTGGCCCTTCTTGCCCTCGGTATCCACACTCCTGGAAAACTGCGCAGACAGGATATACACCAGGAAGGTGCACGTGCTCACAGCACTTCCTGCACCAGGGACGGGTGAAAACTGCAGAGAGACACTGCTCTTCAGAGACCATCGGTACCAACCCGTCCTGTGAGCCAGCATCCTGCCCGGACAGACCCCGCAGCACTCGCCTCTGCCCCCTCGCCAGCCAGCAGACCAGCTCAGGCCGTACACTGGGCTTATCCTCAGCAGAAACTGAGAAATGTTATTTCTGGACTTGGCACAGTGTCCCATGTTGGAGGGACCAAAAAGCTTCGCAGCAGATAGCAAACCTTTCATCGTCTGTATCCAGGCCTTCTCTGTCCCTTTCCAGCTCTTTCAGCTTCCAGTTTCTGCGCTGCTGGCGTCTGGTACGGTCATAGCTCTTCTTTATTAACACCTGCAGTGAAAACCAGAACACAAAAACTCTTTCAAAGCCCCAAACTCCACCCGAGCCCAGATTTGGGCAACTGTAAAATCAGCTGAACAAATGGTAGAGTCAGTCTGGCACTCAGAAGTTTTAGATAGAATTTACAGAGCATCCATTGATTCAAAAGTTTCCAAACACTTTGGATTATGTCCTGAAGAGGCGTACAGACACTGGAGTTGTAATACAGCTTTCACCACACGGTGCATGGTAACTTCAACAAAGCCAACAGAGAGTCAGATAAGTTAAAGCAAATCTATTATTTAACCACCACACAACAATTTAAGCAGTGAGAAAATCATTCTCAAAATTAGATGCTATTCAAATTTCAATATTAATATCCCCTCTTCCTTTGGCACTATGGAACTAGTGACTATTCATTATAAAACTGTATTCCTTAGAACCCCTGGGTAACAGAGAAAGAAAAAGGTCTTACCACATCAGGAATATTGTGTGGGTTCATCTTATTGGCAAACTCGTCATTTAAGTTGCAGTTCGCCAAGTCAAATCTAAAACAAAAATAGGTATTTTATTCTACCCTTCTACAAAAGCCTACAAACTACCGATCTTTAACACAAACATATGTATCGTATGTTTGTATTAAAGAGCAGCACATGTAAGTTACAGCTCCTCAGAAAGATAAACGTTTACAAAAGAACTTGAGAGCAAATAAAATATCCACACCAACAGGCAGCTGCCCTAACTCTCAGAAGCTGCTGCTCCCAAACTCTTTTCAGCAACACTCCCCAGCCTCCTGAACCCAAACAGCAACACCCACTGAGCTTCTGCTGGACTCACAACAGCTCCAATAACATTCATGTTTCTGCCTGTTTGAGAATCACCTCATTTGCCTAATCTTACAGAAATTTCACATTTGTCTTTGCTGTGTACGATACTCGCTATCAAACAAAAAGATCTTGCCTGGTATTTCAAAAATCTCTGCCGTCTATTTGTGTCTAAACTGTTACTCCAGTCTGCATTCTACAGTCAATGCTTCAGCTCTCTACTTCCTAACAGTCCGTTTCGCAACATGACCTCTGCTAGAAAAAAGATTTCCTGCATTGGGACCATCTCTTCATGGCCAAGATGAAAGATCCGATCCCTTTTGCCGATTTCGATCCCTTTTGCCCATTTCATTTAGAAATCAGAACTGTTCAAAACTTTCTTGATAATATATAAGCCCATAGAGAATCCAAAGAATTCAGTCATTAAATAACAATTTAATACAAAACAAGAAACAGAACAGACCCCAAGACAAGGTCGCCAGGATTCAGGATGTGTCCCAAGTGAGTACAGCAGAAATACTGATGATCTGTATTCAGCTCCGAGGTTTTCCGTACCCAGGCTTCAGCCAGCGTGTGCTTGAGGAACAAAAAATAAAACAACCTTGTAGTCAAACGCAGCTGAACTTGCTGTGCTATGAGAACATCTGCACTGCTGCATTACTGTTTCAAATCACACTTGCAATTAAACGTGTATTTCTACATCAAGCACCCAATGTATTGCTTGCTACTCCTCATTTCTCGTTTTTACACAAGGAAGGAAATGGACGTGCCAACCACTTTTCACAAGAATTCCACTAAGGCTGTTTCTGTAACTAGACAGGTTTTCAGTTTCTTTGTTTTTTGTTTATTTTTACTTCTTAACTTTCAATCACATACAGCTTTTGACTGAGAAGAAAATGTTTGGTACTGATTCACTAATTCCGATTAAAAAGCAATGCTTCTACACTTTCAACAAAAACAATTTAAGAATTGAAGAGCTGCACAGCTAATACAAAATAATTTCAATAACGATAGCAACAAGCAGAATTTAAACTCTTCAACAGAAAAGGACTTCCGAAAGTGGAATTCGCGTAACGCCTGTGCAATTTCCAAACCAAAACACTGTCCACATCTTCCCGAGAAGAGCTTTTGCCCAGCGGCTAGACACAGCAAAGCACAGACCTGACTTTGCAAGACAGAAGGACTCAAAAGAGAAGTTCAGCTGAGTAGGGGAGGGGGGGGAGAGGAGGGCCCAAAACATCGAGTCAGATAGTGAGGAGCTCTTACCTTGTTTGATCTTGCCCCTGCCCCTGCCCCTTTTTTCTTTTCTTGAACTCTATTGATATCCATAATGATAAATTCCTCTAGCTGTCTGGGGTGGAACAAGCTATTGAAAGGGTGCCGCCAGTAGGTATTCCCATCAATTTCAGCAACTGGAAAAAGAACACCAGCATGGGCAAACACAAGTGAGAGAATTTCTCACGAAGAAATTAAAAGGAAAAGGAAGCACTGGCCAAAATTAAGGCAACTGCCAAACGCGTTCTGTTCAAGCTTATTATTGTAACACCAGTACTTAGGACGTGACCCCTGTTGCAAACTCGTGCGACACGAGCGGTTGATCTGCAACAGACAAATCACGTATCACGTGTCTGAAGCGCAGACCTTTATATTTGCAAGGATCATTCTCATTCTCCTGGATGTGTCTTTATTTGAGGTATTTTGCTGGCACAGCTTACCAGCAATTACCAATCGAAGCACAGGGCTTCTGGTGCCCTTCTTTGCACCAAAGTGCCTAGAATCATAAATGCACAGAAAAACTAGATGCCGTCTAATTTTAGAGGAACATGCCTGACAAATTTAAGTGCTTAGCAGAGACCTAGAGCATACATGGACTTCACAGTGACTCTGCCTGTTTTTCCTAGGCTACTATGGAAGCCAAGCTTAGAGAACTATGTCTTAGTTCGCTATTAAATTTCTACATCAGTGATTGTACAGATAAATTTACAACATTAAGGTCCACAAATACAAGATAGTATGAAAACAAAAAACAACAACAAAAAAATTGTGCCAGCAGAAGAATGCGATGCTGCCGTAGTGCAGAGAAGAACCGGTAGCTTACTCTGCAGAGTGCTAGGATCGATGAGGCGGATGGTGCTCGTCACTCGAATGCACACACAGATCTGGCTCATGTTACCAAGGCTCTGCGCCAGTTTTGGTGACAGGCATACAACATTGTCCTGCACACAAACAGAAAATACTTTACACTCATATGTCCTTAATTTTTAATCAATTCTTTAGAGAAATTGGAAATAGATTTATAAACTTCATATTTTCAGTTCTCCACCCAATATTACCAGTAACTTCCTCAAGACAGCCACTATCTGCACGTCCCATGCTTCGTGGGGAGCAGACCGCTCCATCCCCCCAAATACACAACAGACCAGGCCTCCATCACCCAAACAAACTCTACCCACTTCATACAACACCCTGAAGATGAAATAGAGGGAAGCTACCTTGCATATGGGAACAATTTCCACAGAGAAAGTGCTTTTGTAATTGTAGACATTACTATGAATATCATGAGAGATCAAACGTTGGGATGATTTTGATCTATAAAACATAAAAACACAGCCTTCAGGCAGCAAGAAGGACATTACTTGAAAGAGGAGATGATCAGCAATGAAAGTCTATGGCTATGTACTACAGATCCAACAATTATGGAAATAGGAAAAATGCATGAGGGTTAGTTTTACAATGGCTACATAGAAAAAACAGGACTTTTGTATAAGTAATTTTGTCTGTTTTAACCAGAATACAGGTTTCTTACACCTCCACTTCCAAAATTCTTTAAAAGTGAAGGATAAAAGACATTTCTCAAAAGCATCTGGGTATTGGAGGCAATAAATGTAAATCATATACCTAGATGGAACTGTACACTGAAGAAAGTCAACCATCTTCTGGGCCTGTTGCTTTGAAGAATAATAAAAATCCAGGCCATCTGAAAGGAAAAAAAGCTTGATGAACATACCCATTTCAAGTACTATGTTTGTTTTCAATACAACACATCGGCTAAGTAATCTGCTGCTTATCTGTACACAGCCTCTAGCATAAGCACTCCTCTAACGTAAACCAAGTTAGTCTATTCTACCTCCATCCACCTACCATGGATTTCTTTGATGCGAAGCGTATTTTGGTGAAGCCTGTGTTTTAAAATCAGCTGCTCCAAATAGTAGAAAGTCTTCTTGTGCAGAGTCTAAAACCAAGCAAAGACAAAATTATCAAGGTTATTTAAGAATCGTCTAGTGCAAATGCAGTATCTCTGAGGAATAAACATTTATACGAAGAGATCATGTGGAGAAGGAACAGTCCAAAGTCTATTCAGAGTAACCAAAAAGATTTCAGAGATGTGCTCTATTTATACCAACTTATTTAAAGCTTCTGTTCCTCATTTTTGTGTAACTGGTTGCTAAAGATACCATTTTCTTTAAAGAAGATTTAAATATTTAGAAACAATCTGTATCATTGTTTCTAACACTGCCTTAAAATACAGCAGGGTATTTAGTAACTCACACAAGTTCCTCCTGCCAGACATCATTTAAAAAGAGTATGCTAATAATACTGGACAGCAGAAAGTTTTTCTAAACTAAGATCAGTAAGAAAAAAACCCATCGCGAACACAGACTGTATTACTGCAGCAGCGTGCAAGTGTGAGTACATCTTTTTCTGAGAAAATCAAAAATTCATCCAAATATTTGTCCGCTTGATTGCACTGCCACGAGCAGATGAAAACTCAGCTTGCCTCTACCTTTTGTCTGACTTGCACTACAGCTTTCCAGAAATCCTTCGCTTCAATTCTGTGACAGTCTTCACACATTTGAGACTGAACTATGTATTCCACCACAAACACTTGCTGAAGAACCGCTCCATTTAGCACCTGTAAAACAGAGTTGAGAAGGTTTCCTCATTAGTCCAGACAGAAAGCCAGCTTACCACAGCACTCTGAAATAACTTCCACACTACACCACGTGACAGATGGCTATATTTGGGTCACAGATATTAGGACTATTTTCCCAGCTTCACTGGAACAGCCGATAACCTCTACCAAATGGTGACAAATGGCACTTTAACGACAAAATTTAGGCAGGATGAAATCAATGTTCTTTCAAGATAAGCCCGTAAACACATGCTGGATTTTACCAAAGAGAACCACTTATCGAAAATACAAAGGTAACAAAAAAATAAGTAAAATCCTACTGTTTGCCATAAAAGCTTTTTAAAATCCACACACAGAATACTGTACTCCAGTTACCTCTTTCTGAACAGTCAGTTTCAGCTTCAGCCTCTTAGAATGGGGCTCGGTCCAAATAAAGCCTGCATCAATCAGCCGGACCTGCCAGCGGGAAAGAACGAGAGCTCAGCTCCTGCCAGCGGCTGAAACAGGGCACGCGTTAAAAACACGCAGCGCTAACCGCCGCAGCACACAAGCTTCTGGTACAGTTCACAATGCCTCAACCAAGTGAGGAAGCGAATAACCTGAATTAAAAACATAGAACTCAGTGTACCAAACACAATTAATAATGCTTACTTAGGACAGACAGTCTGATCTACCTAAAACAATGGCGATGCAGCCTCAGACTGCCACACCAGAGGAACTGGATACACCATTCAGCAGTACCTCTGGATGCCACGTAACGATGAATTTGGACAATACAATGGTTTTCTCACCACTTAAAAGCCAATTTAATCTCTAAAACTAAGAACATGCAAAGTTACTGCAGCAAATGATACTTTGTACATTTAAGTACTAATGCAACAGCAAGAAGCTCAATAAAGCAATCTAATTCAAACCTTGCTGACTGCGGTAACAAAACAATTTTTTCGCCTATAAAACTATCTCAGATTTTTCCCTCTGGTAAGATTCTGAAACCAAAGAGGTACTTTACTCAACTTAAACACATGACTTTCAATTTAAACTATATATAGACCTCTGTGACCCTCTTTCATATCGTCATAAACCAGTGAGAACAAGTATGGTACAGACAATTTGCAAAATGCGTAAAAAGAAAACTGTAAAATTCAGGTGCCTTAAGAACATGTTAGCTTCCTTCAGTGAATTATGCTCAACTCCCACCCCTACCTTATAAATATCTTAAGGCTGGGTGTCAGGAGGATGGGGCCAGACTCTTTGCAGTGGTGCCCAGCGACAGGACAAGGGGCAAGGGGCACAAACTGTGTCAGAGGAAGCTCCAGCTGAACACGAGGAAGAACTTCTTCCCTCTGAGGGTGACGGAGCCCTGGCCCAGGCTGCCCAGGGAGGTTGTGGAGTCTCCTTCTCTGGAGATATTCCAGACCCACCTGGTGCTGTGCAGCGTGCTCTGGGTGACCCTGCTTGGGCAGGGGGTTGGACTGGGTGACCCACAGAGGGCCCTGTCAACCCCAACCATGCTGTGATTCTGTGATCCTGTACAGTAACAACTGTGCAGCACGCTGTATGCTTTGAAGCCACAGAATTGCAGTGCAAGAGCCTCCTTGGTATGCCTGGGAAAGTTTTTTGTTAGACCCTGTCCTTACCAAATCCTTCAAAATTCTAGTGTAGTTGAGGTCAGGCTGGCACTCTCTCTATGTTTAATACAGACCCATTGATAAGCTCTACACAAGTACAAACCCTGTGTAAGTCAGCTGGAGTTCATTTTCTGCAATAGCAACAGACACGCTACGGAACGTGAGCAGAATTAGCTCCTCACCTTGCTCAGGGAAGCTTTGATTTTTTTAAGACACAAAGCGAGCAGCTCTCTTGATTCCAAGGCACACCGGACCCAGGTTCCTGGAGGCTGGAGATACCTGGGACACAGGCAGCGTGTCACCACACGTCAAAGCAAATCCAGTCACTCCGCAGACGAGCAGTTATTTGCCCAGCTTTCACGTGAAATGCCAGCTATGCAGCTACAACCTTCGCCTCTCTCAGCACGATGACAAGTGCGCTCACGCTTTTACCACCATCCTGCCCGCTTTCTTCCCTATCCCGAGGGCCACGAATACGCTCGTTTAAACCTCCCAGACGCCGCACAGCACCGCCCTTCTACTCCCACGAGGAAAGAAACTCCACAACGTGGTGGAAAATCCTAAAGGACCCAACAGAAAGGGGCCAAGCAGGTGTAGGCCGCACCGCAGCGGGCAATACGCTCGTTTAAACCTCCCAGACGCCGCACAGCACCGCCCTTCTACTCCCACGAGGAAAGAAACTCCACAACGTGGTGGAAAATCCTAAAGGACCCAACAGAAAGGGGCCAAGCAGGTGTAGGCCGCACCGCAGCGGGCCCAGAGCGGGGGGATCCCGGGCCGGGGGAGATAAGCGGGCCCAAGGCTGGGGGGGATCCCATCCCTGAGGAGAGGAGGTGGCCAGGGGCGGGGGATCCCGGCCCTGAGGAGAGGAGCGGGCC